GTGCTGGGCTGCAGTGTGTTCAGTAGTTCAGTGCTACAGTGCTGGACTGCAGTATATCTGTTGTTTTGGTGGATATTGGAATTTGGTGCATTCTTGAAGGGACAAGCCTAGTGAGAATCGGGCACTTTGTTCTTGCTCTGAGTGGGCTGGCGGGGTGCATGACTGATTTCAACCCTGAGCTCCAACTCACTGCGCCCCTCATATTAGACTACGCTGTTGTTGAAAATGGATGTGTGCTTATTGTAATGAAGAGGCCACCTGAATCACTCTATTCTAATAGATATGGAATGAAAATACTGAGCTCTAGTGGTGACAGGGTGTAATGGCACCATGGATGTTGTCTTTCTTGAAAAGCTTCGGGAGATGTGAACTTTACTTAAACAAACACATTGAATACATGACTATCCATCCTTTTTCAAACTACTTCATCCAATTCAGAGTCGCAGGAGAACTAGGGCCAATCCCATCAAGCAATGGGCACAAGGCAGGGTACACCCTAGACGCGATGCCAGTCCAGAACGGCATACACCTGCGCAACAGGGCTTCCGCCAGTTAACCTGCTGTACCAGCATGGTTCTAGGTTCTGGATGGAAACAAGTCCTCTCAGAGAAAACACACGTGAACACAGGGAGAATCCAGGGCGCCAGCGCTGTGAGGCAGCAGTGCAAACCACTGCGGCACTGTGCTGCCCTTACTTAATGATTGATTACTTAATTAATACAATTAGAAAATAAATTAATGGCAGTTTTGTACTCTTTCAAGTCTGTACTCAGTGTGCGTTGTTCTTTAGAATTTATCATTCACATGCTGCGCTCTTTAGAATCAGTATTCAGTGCACTGTGGTTTTAGAACTGTTGGCTGCCATCAGACGTACCAAAGTCACTGTTAAACGTAAGGTGTCTCCTGTAGTTATATGCCAAAAGGCCAACAGAATCATCCTTTTGATGATTTAACTTGGGAAGCTGCAGGAACACGGGACAATGAATATTTCCGTAGGCTAAAAGTGGTGGGATAATTTAAAAAGTCAGGGAAAAGGAATGTCTAGGAACAAAGTTCGAAGTTAATTGCGTGGCTGTAGAGCTGCAAGTTTGTATTAACAGGAAAGAAGCAAGGTTAGCGCGAGACAGTAATATGACTTTTCTTACTCCGGCAGGCCCTGAGTGCTAGAAATCCGTGCTGCTGTGCTATCTGAGGAAGACAGGACTGTCCTGGCGCTGCCCGCTGCCATGGGAAGACCTGAGGACAGTCTGCGGCTGGTGGCAGCCTGCCTCCTGCTCTCTCTGTGCCTCTCCTCCCCCGCCAGCCCCCACTGCCCCCCGCAGTGCATCTGCGAGACCCGGCCCTGGTACACCCCCCAGTCCGTGTTCCACCAGGCCAAGACTGTGGACTGCAACGAGCTGCAGCTGAGCAGCATCCCCTGGAACATCTCGGGGGACACCCAGGTGTTGCTCCTGCAGAGCAACAACATCTCCAAGGTGACCACAGAGCTTCAGAGCCTGATCAACCTGACCGAGCTGGACCTGTCCCAGAACCACTTTGCCCGGATGCAGGACATCGGCCTGTCCAACCTGACCCAGCTCATCACTCTCTACCTGGAGGAGAACCAGGTGAAGGAGCTGCCGGATTTTTGCCTGAAGGACCTCGTCAGCTTGGAGGAGCTCTACATTAACCACAACCAGATCTCCACCATCGGCCCCAAGGCGTTCGCCGGGCTGGGCAACCTGCTGAGGCTGCACCTCAACTCCAACAAGCTGGCAGCCATCGACAGTGGCTGGTTTGAGTTCCTCCCCAACCTCGAGATCCTCATGATTGGGGAGAACCCCATCCGGGGGCTGCAGGGCATGAACTTCCAGCCCCTGTCCAAGCTGCACAGCCTGGTGCTGGCTGGCATGGGGCTAAAGAATGTGCCAGCCAACACTTTTGAAGGCCTGTCCTACCTGGAGAGCCTCTCCTTCTTTGACAACCAGCTCGCCGCCGTCCCCAGGGAGGCCCTGCGGGGCTTGCCGAACCTCAAGTTCCTGGACCTGAACAAGAACCCCATCAGCCGGGTGCAGGAGGGGGACTTCAGTCACTTCCCCCACCTGGAGGAGCTCAGCCTGAACAACATGGATGAGCTGGTGGCCATCGAGCGGGGGGCCTTCGCCCACCTCCCCGACATGGCCAAGTTAGAGATCCGCAACAACCCCCGGCTCTCCTACATCGACCGGGGAGCGTTCCTGGATGTGGCCGGGCTGCGCACGCTGCTGGTCAGCAACAACGACCTCAGCCTGCTGCCTCGCGAGCTCCTGGCCTCCTTCCCCCTCCTAGACGAGATCAGCCTGCACAGCAACCCCTTGCGTTGCGATTGCCTCTCCAACTGGGGCGCCATCCTGGGGAACCAGTCCACCTTACGCCTGCTGGAGACCCAGATAACCCTCTGTGCCACCCCACCACAGCTGAGCGGCCGTCCGCTTCAGGAGGTGGTCACGACGGGCTTCAGCCTTGCCAGCAACACCTGCCTGCCCCTCATCTCCCTGCACACGTTCCCAGCACAGCTCAACGCCACCACCGGACAGCGCCTCACTCTGAACTGCTGGGCAATGGCTGACCCGGCGCCCCAGTTCTACTGGGTGACCCCAGCGGGGGACAAGGTCACCTCCGGCCCCGCCTCTGCCGCGCTCGCCCCCTCCTCCAGCAGCCGGAAGCACAGGGTGCAAGGACAGGGCGCCCTGGAGATCCTTCGCGTCGAACCCGAGGACGCGGGGCTCTACACCTGCGTGGCGTGGAACTCCGAGGGGGCGGACACGCGCAGCGTGAGCCTGCACGTGGCCGGGGGCGGGGGGGCGGCGGCCGAGGGCGGAGAGCCGGGGGCGGGGAACGCCACCGGGGGCCTGGTGATCCTGGCCAAGGTTGTCCACTCCCGCTCGGTGGTGCTGGCGTGGCGGCTGGCCCCGTCCGTCACGGCCTCCGGCCGCGAGGCCCCGCCACCACGGTGGGCCACCGCCACCATGAAGATCGACAACCCGCAGGTCAGCTACACGGCCAAGGTGCCCGTGGACATCCAGGAGTACAACCTCACCCACCTGCTGCCCTCCACCGAGTACAAAGTCTGCCTGACCGTCTCCTCCTCCACCGAGCGCCAGACCCAGCGCTCCTGCGTCAACGTGACCACCAAGGAGGCCACCTTCGCCGTGGAGATGGTGGCCCAGCCCTCCAGCGTGGCCCTGGCCGCCGTGATGGGCTCCATGTTCGCCATCTGCATCATGGCCCTGCTGGTCTTCTACATGGGCCGCCGGATGAAGCAGAAGGCCTGCCACCACTCGCTGAAGACGTACATGCAGCACGCCACCGCCATCCCCCTGAACGAGCTGTACCCCCCCCTCATCAACCTGTGGGAGAGCGAGGCGGAGAAGGAGAAGGAGTGCACCCTGGACGCACAGGCCCCGCAGATAGACACCTCCAAGACCTACCTGTGGTAGCGGGGCGCAGCGAGGGGCGAGGGAAAGCCGGACGTGTGTTGGCGTGACCATGGCGGTGGACGTGTGTGCACACGTTTGTGCGCGGTTTCCATCACACATTACGTTTAACTTAACTTAGTTTGCCACCTCACCACGCTCTTCCTCCCAAAATGACGCGGCACTTGTGAAAGTCTCTGGATGGCCTATTTTTTTCATTTATTTTTCCCAGGGGGTGCGACACAACCCCCAGATTCCCCACTCTGGGATTTTATTTTTATATGAGAAGGGGGAGATGCTCACAAGAAACGTTTTAATAATCCCTTGGTGAAACACACATTATCTCCACAGTGTGCATTTGTTTATCATAAGGCAGTAGACTTAGAACAGTAGTCGTAGCACTGAGGAGTTAGCAACAGGCATTTTGAAGAACGCAGCAGGGTGAAAGACCGGGGACAGTCGACAGCCGACCGGTCGGCCTCGCTGACACACTTGATGTCAAACTAGACCTTACACCTCGATGCCTGCAGGAACTGGTAGCTGTGTTTACTCCGAGACAAGTTCTACCCTGCGCAATGTGATCATGCCTCTTGAGGGGTTTTTCTAAATGGAGATTTGTTTTGCCGAGGAGCTAAAAGTAGCCTCACAACCCACAAAGATGTGTTTCTTAAGACCTGAACTTCTTCTGTCATAAGGAACTCTGCAGAAGTAGTAATAATAATAATAATAATAATAATAATAATAACTGATGAAGCACAGAATAAAAAGCTGAATATCTCAGAGGCTATGTCTTGCATTTACAGTATTTTTTGTAAATAGACTTTGTGTTCCAACATGCCTGGCTGGTCCACTATCAGAGTTCAGGAATCCCTGGACAACGAACTTCCAGCACTGGAGCTGCAGTGACAGCCTCACTCCCCAGCTTGCAGACTTGCAGACATGATCCCCTGAGGCTCGTGTCAAACCCTCCACTGAAGACGTCAGAGCTACCAACACCCCACGTGATGCGGTTTATTTTTAAACAAATTGTCAGAATGTTGTTTCTTTAACTTGGTCCCTGACACCGTGCTCTCCTGCCACAACTGCCTCGCCCATCAGTCTCCTGAAGTGAGACAGGGCTGGGAACTTGCCGATGTTCTCCCGGTACCGTCAGCCATAAAAGAGATTTTAAATGCTTTCGGCTTCGGCTCCACCCTAGTGCCCATTCTAACCTTGAGCTAAAACACCCGGCAACAGAACGAGAAGGATAAAGTGTTGTTCTGGAGCAGACAGAAGTTTCATTAGGAGTCACGTCAGAGACCACGGGCTGCTGAAGCACTAACGTTATCTGCCAGCCGTGCGAACCTTCTGCTCGTTTTCAGGCTGAATGGTCCCTCCCTCTTCCTGGACGATTGTGAAAGAGCAGAAACCTACGGCGCTCATTCAGCCGAACACCGCATCAATACCAAAGCTGAAGACTGATGTGCACATGAGAACAGGAGCTTGGATTATGCGTCCGCCTGCCGAGTCACTTTATCGGATACATGTCTACATACAAATCGCCACACAATGCTGTCTGCTCATGTTGATGCTTTCTGATTTTCTGTGGTTTACCTTATCAGCCGAATACCACTTACTTGTCATTACAGATGGGAGGCAGCAAAAATGAAAGTGCACAAAAGGGGACACAGTGAGTGGTGGGATACTCCCAGACTCTGTATTACTGGGTTTCTTACAACCGCTAGTTACAGATCCCATGGGAAGAAAGAAACTATTTGTGGTATAGTAAACAATTTTTTTTATTGTGGCGTTTCGGAAACCCTATCCGAAAGTCTGCTGTTTCATGTGTCGCTCTTTCTGTCCAACCCTCTCCCGAATCTTGATTGTTCAGTCATATATGTCTTATGTCTATCAGTCGGTCTGCATCTATACCCATCATCCCCTATTTTTCTAACCAAACATACATGCAGTCTATATTGTTTTGTTCATTGGACGAACTGTTCTCATATTTATGTGTATATTGTGTTCTGACGTTGCATCACCTTCCCCAGGTTATTCTTTTTGAAGATTCATGAACTAATTTTTCAAATCCCATGCTCATTGCCCTATTTATTAGCATTAAGATTAGTAGAATCATAATAACCTAAGGCATTGAACACATCCCAAAATAAAAAAGAACATTAAGAATCAAGATCCAGGGGGAATTATGCCTGTTTTATTTTTCCAGGGGGTGAGGGAGTGGTATCCTTAATATTTATTATTGGAATTCACCACACATTCTATTAAGCTTTTTCCTGCTCCTTCTAAATTGGAATGACACTTTCTGTCACTTCTTCTGCCAGCACTGCAGCAGCTGTGGAGTACTGTATGCAGGGAGAACAGAACATCTGCTGCAGAGCTCTCACCACGTAGCCCAGGACACACACCGGCTACAGCAGGTTCAGTAGATGATCAGCACCTTGAAGATGTGGTGGAAGGAGATGTTAATGAATGAGCAGGTTTTGACCACTTTAGGCCTATTTAGAAATTATTTAAAAAAAATAATATTTTGGTTTGTGTTTCTTTACTGACGTAGCTCAGTCAAACTTTAGAGCCCATACAGTATGTGCATTTTAAACGCGCTGTAACGCTGAGGACAGTTTGAATCACAGACCAAGATGTGTTTTGTCCATCTTCAGGTGTCAAGAAAAGCATTTTCTAAATGAAGAAACAGAAATACTTTCTCCTGATTTTTTTTTCTGTAATAAAGTTTGAGTATTGAGAAAGCTCTCATAAGCCTCGAATATCATGGAGGAGCTGATGGGGATTATTAGTCATGTCTTCGCTACAGCTGGGTAATGATGGGGCAATGCAACTTTAAAGTAATCTAAATAGGCACCGTAGTAGGTTGGCAGTGATACACATATCGTTCGAACAATAGCAGGGTATTTTTGGCAATGCTGTATACGATGAGGCTAAAAACTACCATCAAAACTCCTTCACAAACAATACACAACACGATCAAACAACAAACATCACGGAAAAAATTAAATTTCAGAGTTATACTAGGACCACTGCGTCTGCAGAACATCCTTGTCAGCTCTCAATTCTTAATTCCATCGTTTTCAACTGACTTCTCTCTACCTGGAGACCTGCTCTTAGCATTCGGCTGAAATGACTGTGTGTTGCGTTCTGAACTACTATGAACAGCTGAGTGCAGGTAATGTCCTTTGCACGAATGGTTGTAAAATATTGTAAGTGTTGTTATAACATGTAGTGTAGTGTTTATGAAGGAGTAGTGGCAGTGGTTTTTAGCCTCGGTGAAGTAAAATGTTATTGTATTTTTTGATAAAGCTAAAATAACACATTCCTGTAATATTTGTATGTGAATAATCAAATGTGCAGTGCAGTTCTGTATTTCAGAGCAAATAATGAACAGATGAAGATGAAGCACAGTGTCACTTGTAAACAGAAATTGAGTTTTTGTCAGGATGATAATAAACATTAGAAGACAAAATCTCAAAAGTGTGTTTTCCCCGTATATTGTGTGCTACCGTATATTGGCAGGGACAATACTTAAGACAATGTCCTCACAAACACAGTCACTCAGGGGTCCTTCACTTGATTAAAGAATTCCAGCAGGCACAACCTTATAAATGGGTTCAATGGGAGTTTTTAAGTTGACATTATATATCGACGATCTGATATGTCTGTTGAGCCTTTTAGGCTGCATGGACAGGCTGAAAACACTCAACCTTTTTAGACAGAGAAGACTACAAGAGAACCTGGGGCCTGTATTCCTATAGGGCACAGACGAAATCAGGCTGGGGGAGTTCTTCAAAATCAACAGCCAAACACAAACCAGAGGACAAATGTGGGAAATACGTGGAAGAGCATATTACATTGAGAGCAGGAGGCACTTCTTTACACAAAAGGTTGTGGGAGTGGGGAACAACTTGCCCGGCCTTTCCGTTGAAGCTGGTAAATGATTTCACAGGAAGTTTGGATGTGACTTCAGAGGCATTATAATATTCACAAAAAAAAGGTTGTCCATAACTGCTAATTATGTTTGATTTACAGACAAGATATAACACCTCCTCTACAGAGCATATACTTTATTTTCCTGATATAAGACATCTTAACAAGAGGACAGAGTAAACAAAAGATTTACCATCTAATTACATGCAATACCAAATGCAATCTCTTTCCATCTCGAGAGCAAGGGTTCACATGATAGCACATTAAATCCAAGATTTTTATACCCCAAGAAATGTCTATTGTGAGACAAATATTCAAGAGGCCGCTAGAAAGTATCATCTGCCATCTTAAATAAATAGATACAGATTATCTCCTTGTCTTATAAAGCATTATATCTCTATTATTATAGGTGGGTAGCTGCGTCAGCATGCGTAGGCTGCAAAGGAACAGGTAATAGGTTTATTCCATGCTGAAAAAAAGAAGAAAGAGAACACAACGTTTCGGCACCTGAAGAAGGCTCCACGGCCGAAACGTTGTGTTCTCTTTCTTCTTTTTTTCAGCGTGGAATAAACCTATTACTTGTTCTCTATTATCATGTACTGGATATCTCTTGAAATTGCTCAATCTACACTACTAGAAGTTTAAGCATTATTTTATACATCAACATCAATTTTTATAATGACATATCAAGCTATAAATGTAATTCCAATTGAATAATTTATTGGTCGTGTCCAAAAAAAACTTGGCAGAGATATCCAAAAATGATAATGGAATTACTCCTCATATAGCCTGTATATTTGTTGTAAATAGGCTACAGGCAGTTTTGATATTCTTCAAAATTTAGGTCGTGCAGCATTTACCGATGTAGTCATTCTTGTGAGGCAAGACTCCTCTGTTATTGAGGCGTACAGGACGCAGAATGCAGCCGAAGGACCTGTCCGTCTGGCGCTAGTTGTGACCCAGTTGTGAGGCGGTGTGCTCCCTTCAGCTGCCTCCCTAAATTCTTTCTCTTTTTCTTCTTCTGTTTTCTGAAGGCATACTCTCCCGTTTCTGACTGAACCATATATATATACACAACAAAGAATATGCCTGTTAGAGGTTTATATAAAATACAAAAAGACTGGCTTGTGTACTCAGTTAACTACATTTTCTTCAGGACATCTCAAATCTAGCTAAGCAGCCATGCGGACAATAACGTGGCGAGTTCGTCGGTTTCCAAACTTAGAACAGGTGAATGAAAACAGTCTTCCTTAAACACACAGTGCTCAATACGACACCCTTGGCGTGTTACTTTTGTACAGTACTTCTGAAAAATCAGCGTTTTCTTCTCGCCATTCACGTTTAACGTTTAACACGACCTCCACAGGTGGAGCAGCCTACAGTACGTTGCTTATCGCTGCTTTTTTTCTCCGCTTTTTACAACGAACAGGAGGCGGGCATTGGCGCTAGGGTGAGATCAATTAGGTCCAACGTTTTTTTTTCCCTAACTGGAGATCCGTAAATAAATACAGAAGCAGAATCGTTAAGAGGCGAAAAAAAAGGAAATTGTTGGGACTTTTTTTGCAAAGGGGCAAGGGCTTGAGCCCGTGTAGCCACCCCGCTGTGCACGTCCCTGCATTAGATGTTGCTCTGCAGGAGGGTGGGTTCCTGTGCGTCTCCCTGGTTGTTTCTTTAAATTTTTTTATTAAACATAAAGAATTTACAAATACAAATACCAGAGGATCAGAAACGGGTACAAGAGAAAAAAAAAACACAAACAGAAAAAAAACAATTAACTGCCAGAGATAATGAAGTAAATGATGTGATCAAATTGTATTTTGTACATATATCAAATGTTTTCTTTGCTTTCACATTTTCCAAAAAAATGTATAGAATTTAAATAGTGTTTCAACTCCACCTCAAAAGTACATAAAAGGGGAGTATTAGACCCTTTTGATTTATGAATGTGATATTTACCCAGAATGACTAATACATTTACTATAAATAACTTGCTCTTTTTCCAAATTTTCTATTAAACAGTACCATAAAATATCAAAATCCTTTATCTAAAGCGCACCTTTAACTGCCTGCAAACAAAACTCTGCGAGTCCGTCCAAAACAGCGTCACAAACCTACAGCTAACAAATAAAAGCACCGAAGACCCCCCTTCAGCCCGACAAAAAACACACAAATCATCCTGCTCATGCTTACATTTAGAGAGCACTAATTTAACCGGATTAAATTTATGAATATAATATAATAATCGACTGTGGTAAACGTGTTAAGTAGGCTTGAGAATCTGAGTAAGAAGAAGAAATATTGTCCGTTTAATCTAAAGGTGTTGTGAAATATTCTGTGATAATGAGATATTAAAATTGAATACAGGAGCTTTCCAAAATGCACATTATAATTACCAAGCACACGATTATTTGATTGTAATTACTGTATAAATAATTGCGTTTTTATAAATAACCCCCTTAGTGTATGCAATGATAAAATTCCTTTCTGTAAATACAAGGATCGGTTTCTAAGTCCTCGGACTACGGATTCTACAAAGGACATTGTACTGACACGAAATTTCCTTCTGGAAGAAAAAACCTTTTTTTATAAAAAAAAAACAACTCAACTCGTTACTACTAATACGATAGTCAGGAAGGGCCACGTGGACGGTTCAATCCCAAAAGTCACGAAATCTAAACACCTAGTAGATTACAGAAAATGTAGCCGGGGGAGGTATAAACATATATTTATTAAACCCCGTAGCTGTTTGTTTTGTGCAGGTACTGTCCCCTTGACAGCGGCGCCGCGCCACTCGCGCGGGGGCTGCTGGTCCCTGGTTGCTAGGCAGAGTGACGGACGGGTGCGGAAGGGGAGCTGTCAGCGGCTGCGGGAAGTGACGTCGGCGTGTCGTCAGCAGTGTGTGTGTGTGTTGATGTTTTGTGGAAGGCTGGAGGACGGAAGGAGGGCCGGCTTGTTTTTGTTCTCCGAGCGAGAAAGCTCCCGGGGTTGGACTGGGGTTTCATTTTTTTTTTTTTAAAGGGGAAAAAAGACAGAGGTAAAACGACGCCTTTGGAAATCGCGAAGGGGCTACGCGCGGTCCACAGACAGGGGGGGCTGCTGCACAACACAGCGCACGTTAACGGCCACCGCTTGAAAGGAGGAATCGTCGTTCCCCAGCCCCCCCCTGCGAAAGCAGACAACCATGACGATTCTTCCGAAGAAGAAACCCAGCTCGACAGTCGGGGTGCCTGACCACCCGGACGAGAGTGACCGGCGGAGCGGTCCGGACTCCCACCCCCACTCGCACCAGCACCCTCATCCCCACACACACGGCGGCCGAGCCGGCGCCAGACCCAGGGCCTCCCCGC